TGCTAGAGTCTTGAGTCCTCTTTGAGAGTTGGCTCCAGCTACCCGAGCCCAGTGCGTTTGACTTGCCGAGACCATTTCGCTGACGCGAGTCCCTCTGGGACGACAGACCACCGAGACCATCTCTTTCAGCGCGTCGGTGATGCGGTACAGGCGTGCTTGGCGGGGCTTGGTCTGAATCATGACGATGTCTCCAATCGGACCTTGGTGCTGAACGTGAAGGCCTTTCGTCGAGGCCGCCTTGTGTTCGCGGTTTCGTGTTGGCGTCTCCCAAGCCACCCTTAGAGCTTCCTCCAAGGCCACCTCCGATGCCTCCTTTACGGCCATCTCCTAAGCCACTGAAAAACTGCCTCGGCTTCTTTTCTTCCTCTTTTCCTCCTGCACTTGTAGGGGCGCTCTCAAGGCCTCTTCCCAAGCCTCTTTGCACACCACTTCGAACGCCGCCGCTTCCCAGACCGCTACCAAGACCTCCCTTCGGCCCTCGTTGTCTCGGGTCGGGCTGTCCCAGAGCATCCTGGGCCTTTCTCGTCGCATCAGCTTTGTCCTGCACGGCCTTCTCCTGTGCGGCTTTGTGGGTGGCTAGCTTCTGGCGCGCTGCGCGCTCGTGTGGTAAAAGCCCATCATCGGCGTCGTTGCTTCGATCTACGGGGGCCGCTGTTGCCGGGCCGTCGGGGCTCGGTGCTTTTGACGGCGTGCCTGCACCAAACGCTGGCGCTCCCCATCCGGAGCCGTTGGCCGGACCAGGTGACTTCCTAGGAATGCCCGAGCCGATAGAGCCCTTGCCGCCTCCCCATGACGCGAATCCCCTGCTGCCGGTCGATGCATGCTTCGTCGAATCGGAGTAGTTTGGTCGACCGAGATCACGCTGCCGCTGCAGGGCGGGGTGGCGGCAGAAGGCGCAGACGTAAGCACTGCTTCGCTCCTAAAGAAGCTATTAGGTTATGTGCAAAGACCTCAATCATTCGGGAATAGTTCTACTTACGTTCCATATCCTACATCTAAGCATGATTTGTATGTGGGCGCAACATGAGAGGCTGCGAAGGAATGCCTGGAGAAAGTTAAGGTCGAGCTCGAGCTCCTTCGAAATGCCCCAGAAATTTCTCGAGCTCCCCCAGGGCAATTGGAGAGGTCAGCATGTGCAGCCAATCGCAGCCAGGAGGCAATTGGACAGTTCTTGGACCCACCGCCCGGTACGTCAGGGGCAGGTACCTAGTGGCATGCGACCCCCTTGCCCCCATTTGTAAAGCAAATTCGGCCAGCTTGTAGCTAAAGAGCCCTGGGTCGAGCTCACTTATTACTCATTCACAATTCACAAGCACACCTGGGTCACAGTCAGTGTCCGCGGAAACGGTCACGATGGCGCCAAAAGTGAAGGCTGTCAAATCCAAGGCGCCCAAGAAGGCGGCAGTGGGCGCGCCGCCGAAGCCCTTCAAGAAGCCGGCAGAGGTCCTCCAACCCTTCATCGAGACTCTTGACCAAAAGCACGTCTACATCACTCACATCGACTCCAAGCCCGTGGAGTTCAAGAAGAAAATCTTCCTCGTGCCGGTCGGCATGAACCTGGCCGTCGCCGCGCTCTTCATCCTGCGCATGTACTGGATCCTGCCCTACTACTTCAAATTCGTCCAGTCCGCCATGGGCTACCCCAACGAGACGACCTTCCCCACCGCCGACTCGACCTGGGGACAGCTCCTCTGGGAGGTCGCCAAGCGCGGCGGCTCGCTTACGCTGGATCTCATGCTCTTCATCTTTGTCTGGCCGTGGCCGGTCGAGTTCGTCTTTGGCACGTCGTATAGCAACCCGGTCAGCTGGCGGTGGAAGGTTGGTTTCCGCGAAAAGGAAATCTACGTCCGGCGCAGCCGGGAGTGGGACCAGCAGCTGGGCGACATCTTCAAGGACAGGGAGCGCAACGAGGCGCTGCAGCAGGTCATCCGGCAAGCTTGCTCCCCTCTCCTCCTTCAGGAGAAGACTGGCTACCTCACCATGACGGGACAGTGGGATCTCGACTGGCAGGCCATGATCGACGCGCACACCATGGTCGATCGCAACGACGTCGCACTAGATGCCTTCAGACGCCTGGTACTGGTGTATCATGAAGATTACGGCTGGATGTCAGTTGAGGAAGAGGGCGTGACGGCAAAGGAAGACGACAGACGGAGACAGGTGTTCCAGTTCAGGGATGCTCTTAACGCAATTGGCAAGGAGAACCTCTTCTTCCGGTGGATCGAGATTGTGCAGTTCGAGTCCTCGCAGCCAGGTGGGTTCGGCCCCGAGAAGCAAGTTGTAGTGGCGAAGCAGATCCGGGATCTGTTCCAAAAAGAGGGTGTGGATTTTGATCAGGTATGGCATGACGCCGTTGGATCGGATGGGTTGAGTGGCATGTGAGACAAATCACGTATTTGCACTGCGCGAGGCATTGTACATTGGCTTCGTGTAAAATAGAGCATTTTCACGGAGTCTGGCAGAACAGCCTGTGGCAGCGATTGGGCTTTGGCAAACAAAATCTTTTGTCCACATTTGTGGTTTCCACATGGTGTCTGGGGCATGCGATGCTGGGATCGATTATGGACCAGGAAGAACGATGGTATATAACTTGAGGTCGTGTCCAGATTGCCAAAGAGCACTGAATGTCCGGCTTGGCCAGGACCGGCTTATTTGCTAGACTTCTTGCCCTTCTTCGCTGAAGGGCCGAGGGCGGCCTCACGCTTCTTGGCCTCCTTTGCCTCAATCTCCTTCTTCTTCGCAGCCTCTTGGGCCTCGCGCTCTTCTCTCTCGGCCTGCAGAAAATTAAATAATTAGTTTCACTGTCTAGGAGGCAAATCGGAATTCGAATTGAAAATCTTACATCTCTCCGAGCAGCATCAGCCGCTCTCTGCTCACGAATGAGTCTCAACCGCGCCAGATCGGCCTTGGCCTCGTCCGTCTTGCCGGCCTCGTGCAGCTTGCGGTATCTCTCCTTGGCCTGCGCGGCCTCCATGCTCTCGCGCTCCTTGCGGTTGTTGGCCACGGTCAGCTTCTTGACGCCCTCGGCGGCCTCGTCAACGTCGGCGCTGGGGGCAGGCGCCTTGGTCTGGTTGCGAGAGGCCTTGGAATGGTTGGGGTTGACGGGCATGTCGTCGTCGCTGCTCTCCTCCTCGGAATCGCTGGGGGGCATGTCGCCGACCTCGACGGCCTGGGCCTTCTTCTTGGCTATGGCGGCGTCCTTGCGAGCCTTTGCGGCGGCCTTTCTATCGGCACGAGACAACTCGGCCTGGGCGGCGCCGCCCTCGTCAGAGTCGGAGTCCTCCTCCTCAGAGTCCTCTTCAGAGTCTTCTTCGGAGCTCTCCTCGTCCTTCTTCTTGGAGCCGGCGGCCCACATGTTGATTTCGTTGCCATCGGCGTCGAGGGGTCTGAGATCGCGGGAGAAGTGCTTGCCACCTTTTCCATCAGTAGAATGTCAGCCAGCGCTTCAATAGGATGGGTATCATGAAGGCGAATTTTTGACGAACCTCCACGGGTGAACTTTCTGAACTTGCCGCCACGGCCGCGAGAGTTGCCTCCTGGTTGTCCGCCTGCCATTTTGACTGTGATGGGGTTCTCTTTTTTTTTTTCTGCTGGGTTGCTTCTGATTGTCTGCGCTGCGTAGACAAAGTGAGATTGCGGGGTCGAAGTGGGATGTTTAGCAGAGATAGTTGGCGCAAAGGGTAGGATGGCGGGGTAAAAGTGTGCTGTCCTTCCTGCTTTGGTGGGCGGCGGCTGCACTTGGGCGTGGTGGTTTTTAAAGAAGAAGGTTATGGTGTCGGAGACTACCTTAGAAGCAGAGGAAGAGGGAATCACTGGAGATAAAGCAGGGTCAACACGGTGAATCGGACTTCAGTTATGATCCCATTGGGTAGACACTAAGGCATAGCTCGAAGAGTCACAGACTTAATAAGGTGTGGCAGATCAGAGGGGCAATCATCATTACGGTATTTCGCCCTGCCAAGTTACCAAACTGGACCATAACAGCATCGCTGGGTTACGGCGCGCAAAGCACGATACTGCAGTCCATTTCAGTCCCTGAACCTGCAGAGTCCCGCAAACACAAACACCTTGACCTCTATTGGCCGGCGGCAGCAGCCCATTTCTACCCGAGGGGGCCACTCTTTGGCCTCTTTTTCACCGCCACGACTTTGTGCCCCGCGCTAAAACGGGCAGGCTTCAATGTAGACAGCCTGTGTCAGGAGATGCACATGTGCAGAATGTCTGTCATCTAAGCCACACGCAGAATGTTTTCGGCAATCACCTCACTTTAGTTACAGGTGCAACATCTTACCCTCCCTCAGGTGCAAGGTCGCTGTCCCTGACATTACAACCCTGATAGAGACAGGGAAAGAGTGAGGCCAATCGAAGGATGATTTCAATCTGACGGCTCTCATTCGTTACGTGAATTGACCCCACTCGGTTCTCATGACTTTATAGATTCCTCCTACTACCTTACACCAAAACCGAAGGTGATGAAGAGAAAATAAGACACGTTCTTGTTACCAGGGAGAATCTTAGTTTAGGTTGGGTGTACCCATAGATGGTATACTTATACATGAGTGAGTCACTCTAGTGGTATTTGACTGTGCGGTAGTTCATCGTATGTCAATCAACTGCGCCTAGTCCTGAAAGTTTAGGAGTAGCCTCTCACTTTGCTTGGGATAAATTCCCGTTGGTTCAATCCAGTCCAAGATATAAGATCAAGAGCTGTCAGTGTGGTATGATCGCGGACGTAAGTCACATTCGTCTTCAATCCGAAGACCAACCCATGTGTGAAACGGGTTCATCGCAATGAAATGCCAAAGAGACCTGCAAGTGGCCCACCAAGGTATCGAGCCGCATCTCCAACTGAAAGTGAAATCCCGGCCATCGGCAAAACCTAAGCGCGGGCCAAACACCCTCTCCACTGGCCCCACTCTCGGAAAACCAATATCAAGGCTGAGATCGCGCGCAAAAGCTTGCGCTTTCCTCTTTTTCTCTTTTCTTCTTTACCTAATCATAAAACATATTAATCCTCCTTATTCACTCTGGCTTTCACGTTATCAATGAATGTGTCTGGAGGGGAAACAGGAGGAGAGACTGACGCACTTTACTCGCACACTTACCCTCTGACCCGTGGCAGCTTCGGCTGTATTGGTGATTGGAGAAATTTTTTGCAGCGATACATTCTTTCCTACCGCATTCACCTTGCGTTTAGTGAGATGCCGTGACTGAGCTGAGGCACATTAAATATCCTTCCGGACGTCAGTCACATACCTGACTGTTAAGCTGAAGCCTTTGATGCGCCCTGTCACTATCCCAGGGGGGGCTCTGGTTCTTACGGCAGAAGTGCTGTCTTGGTGTGAGGTTATCTCGACCATACAGTGCGACCGTATGACACACAGTATATGCACGGTACATCGGTCTCTCACTGAGTCCGTCCCTTGTTCACCCGTCATCTCACCTCACCCATCGCCATAACCATGACGAACTCTCAAAGGTGATACAGTGCACAACTGCTTTTCGACCGCCTAAGCTATCTCTGCGCAGTGTTTCTGCATGCACCGTCCCCCATGTATGACCAAAACGGACAAGTCTTTAAGGAAGTCGTCGCACAGCGGCCCCCCGACGCGTACCAAAATGGCCGGGACTGGTCACGGCGGACCGGCCGGCAACCACGAAGAGGCCGCGGCGGCCAAGGCATGAAGGGCGCGAGGTCGCTCGCAGATATGGCGGTGCACACGATAGCGGAGAATATCGGCGATGTGGAAGAACAGCATCTCGCCCGTGAAGATCTGCCGCGGCGGTACTTGTGGAGGATATGGCGACTGTTGGAGAATAGGTTGGTCAACCTCTTAATTACACCAAAAATGGCATTTTGTGTGATATTCATTGTTTGTTTTCTTGATGTATAGAGGTGTATGCTTCCAAGCCTGGAAGGTCTTTTCCAAATTCCTCCTCGCCGAGGACGACGAAAAGACGCTGGGCCTATATCGCTACCGCCAACACATATGCCAGCCCAGCAACGCGAGTCTCCGCCACTACCTCAAATCCCTCGAGTCGCCCAACGTGGACTTTGTGACGCACCTGACCATCACGGGGTCCTGCTCCTTTGGTGAGAACGAGCTGCTGGCGCTGCCCAAGCTCCGAAACCTCGCCATCCTCGAAATCATCGAGCCGGCGTCGTCGGCGTCGGCCATGGACGAGCAACACGCCCCCAGCTTCCCCAAAGTCGACGACCGCCTCGTCAGGAGCTGGTCCGAGATGGATGACCCCTTCCCGCTCCTCCGCGTCCTCCGTCTCTGGGGCGACGAGTCCGTCACGACGCACTCGCTCCGGTACGTCTCCAAGTTCCCTGCACTGGCGCTGTACGACGTCAACGCGTCAAGGAGTGACTGGCGAGACGCCTGGGGCGCCGCCGAGGAGAATGGCTGGGACGTTGACGAGCCGCTGCACGGCCCGCACGATTCACTGCTGTGGTACCTCCTGCTCTTCGACGGCGCCGTCGATACAGCGGAGAGCAAGAACAGCAAGCCGAGACAGCTCCAAGGCATGGCGCGCAACATTGATGACGGCCTGATGAATTTCTGTCAGAGCAGCAATCAGCCCATCACCATCGAGCCATCTTCCTCGGGCGGCCTGGACGCCCCTCCGTTTCTCGACCACCTCAGCGACGCGGCCAAGAGGAATCTATCCATGTACGTCGACGTGCCGGGCTACGAGGCGCAAACCTGCAAGGGCTTCCCCTTTGAGACGTGGGGCTTCTGGCTGTACTCCTTCCTCGGCCAGCTCACGGGCGACGCGGACCTCAAGAGAGCAGGTCCGAAGACGAGCACGTTGCTCAAAGCGGTCTCGGAACAGCTGGTGCTGCCCGCGAAGCCGCTCGCATGCCTCCAGCTCGGCCATTGCGGGTCCGGCAGGCCGGGCATCACGCCGGCCGTTTCGTATGTGCGCCGGGGGCTCTTTGCCACGTGCAGGTACACGTTCTTCAGGAGGTCGTCGGGGTTGGCCAAGCAGGAGCCAGCGCGGAAGCCGACGGAGTCGTTGAGGCCAAAGGTAGAGCTGGGCAAGGTCGAGACGGGATTGAACCCCAACAGAAAGAAGAGGCGGAGGCTTGACGACATTTTGCAGTCTTTCATGGGTTCTTGAAGTCTGTTATGAGATGAGAGACGGGTAACTCCTGGAAGATCGAGGCTACTATTGCTCCCAGTCTCGATGAATTGAGCGTAAGCTACCGGTCACTCATGCCATACTCGATATTGGGAGAGTAGTGCCAACAGCTTTGCACGACTAGATGATCTGACCATTACACGTTTTTCATAGGCTGGCGTTTAGGTGCATCGCATTCGGCAACAGCCAGGGCAGTTTGGGCATCTGTAGTGCCAATAGGTTGGAAATGCAAAAATCATGGCTATCATTTTGATCCCTAAGCTTTGACGCCGTACTCTAGATGATGACAATGGCGTACCCATCGTGACGGGTATATACCTCCTCCGCAGGTTCATTCATTCTCCAAGAATATCTCTCTCGTACAATATGCTCCTTTTACAACATGGGCTTCAGGTCGTCGGCGACGGTGAAGGGGGCCTCGGTCTTGCTCTTGATCTCATCCACCGTAACTCCGTCCGCAATCTCGATGAGGGTCAATCCGTTGGCGAAGTCGACGTCAAAGACACCCTGCATGCCACATTAGTATCATGTCATCATCCCATCGGAGCTAGAGTAGAAAGGAGGTAGAAAGAGACTTACCAATTCCGTGATGATTCTTGACACGCAGGCTCTGCCAGTCAAGGGGAAAGCGCACTGCTTGACAATCTTGGCGTTGCCCTTCTTGTCGGTGTGCTCCATGGTCACAACGACCTTGGTCGCGCTGGGGTTGCTGACGAGATCCATAGCACCACCGAAGCCCTTGACCTTACCGGGCAACATCCAGTTGGCGAGGTCACCGTTGGCGCTGACCTGCATGGCACCCAGGATGGTGAGGTTGATGCGGCCGCTGCGGATCATGCCGAAGCTCTCCTCGCTGCCGAAGACGGCGGCACCAGGCTTGAGAGTGACGGTCTCCTTGCCGGCGTTGATCAGGTCGGCGTCCTCGTTGCCCTTGGTGGGGTAGGGGCCGAGACCAAGGATACCGTTCTCGGACTGGAGCTGAACCTCGACCTCAGGGCCAACGAAGCCGGGTGCGAGCATGGGCATGCCGATACCCAGGTTGGCGTACATGCCGTTCTTGAACTCCTTGGCGGCACGGCGAACGATGAGCTCGCGCTTGGCGGCGGTGTCACCGGTGCCAAGGGCCTTCTTGGCGTCGGCATCGTTGGGGTCCTTGGCGAAGGTGTACTTCTCAATGTTCTTCGGGGTGGTGCTCTGAATGACGCGCTTGACGTAGATGCCAGGCAGGTGGACGGCCTCGGGGGAGATTTCGCCAGGCTCGACAATGTGCTCAGCCTCGACAATGGTCATCTTGGCGTTGCGGCCCATGGCACCGTTGAAGTTGTTGGCGGCCAGGCGGAACTGGCAGTTTCCGAGCTTGTCGGCCTTGTAGGCCTTGACGAAGGCGTAGTCACCGGCGATGCTCTCCTCGAGGAGGTATGACTTGCCGTTGAAGACCTTGACGTCCTTGGGGTAGGAGAACTGGTCGGGAGAGCCGTCGGCCTTGTTGCGGAGGGGCAGCTCGCCAGTCTGCACCACGGTGCCGAAGGCGGCCGGGGTGTAGAAGGCCGGAATGCCCTTGCCGCCGGCGGCGCAGCGCTCGGCGAGTGTGCCCTGGGGGGTAAGCTCAAGCTCAACCTCACCGGTGAGGTACATCTTCTCGAAGGTCTTGTTCTCGCCAATGTAGCTGGCAATCATCTTGCTGATCTGCTTCGTCTTCAGAAGCTTGCCGAGGCCGGAAGCATCGGTACCGGCGTTGTTAGAGACGGCGGTGATGCCAGTGATCTCAGGCTTGTTCAGGACCTCGTCAATCAGGGTATCGGGAACACCGCAGAGACCGAAGCCACCGCAGAGAAGTGTGGAGTTGGGCTTCATGTCCTTGAGAGCCTCAGTAGCTGAAGGGTAGACCTTGTTGATCTCTGGCCTCCGCGCAGATGCTGAGAAGGCGCGGGCAAGAATGGCAGTGTGCTGATTATCACCACAGGGTTAGTTTGAGCTACGCTGGCTGCCCTTTGGCACTGCCGGATCAATTGGACGTACGTTGGAGCCATGGCGAGCGTAAGCCCGCAATGAGCGAGCACACAGAGCTGCTGAAGGCATCGTGGTGTGTGAGAGTGTGGAGAGGGTAGTGCGTTACTACAGAGGAGGTTTACAAGGCCCGGAGAGTATGGTTGAGCAACGGACTGAAGCAGGTCACCGTACGCAAGAGTGACAACGACAAAGAAGCTATTGACAGGAGTTGGGAATGAAGCTGGAGAGAGGAATTGGGGAGGGAGAAGGAGAGAAGAAACGCCTTTCGTCACGAGGGATTCCGAAGGGGCCCCGGCCAATTTATTGCATCTACGTTTATCCCCCAGGACCTAGCTCCAAGACCGCGAATTGCCGCAGAGCGCAGTATGTGGGATGGCTTGGGAGCGTGTCGGGGTACCTGATTCCGCCCCATCCCTTCGGGATTGAGCTCGGCAAGAGGAAGGACGAGGGTTCAAGCTTGGGCCTGCTGGCGAGTCTGAGAACCTACAGCAGACAAAGAAGCTCCAACTCTGGGGTCGACAGGGCACCTTTTGGCGGCGTTAGCTAAGCACTCCCCCCTCTCATGTTCCGCGACTCGGAAAGTGGCGGGGCTAAATGTTCTTGCGGCTTGGGCTCTGGGGTGACGCCAAACTGGGAAAAGTCCACCTCCAGCTTTCCCCTTGACCCCGTCTGAACCCCGCAAAAACAATTCTGAGCCTCTGATGGAGGGAGTGCATACCCAATAGCACGTATGCTTTGTTTTGTCTACACCTTCTTTATCCTGCGTAGAGTAAATAGTAACAACATCTCCAGAGGGGAATCTCAACATCAGAACATCAATCCTGCGGCTATGGACTATTATGGGTGAATTCGGGGATCGGTTCGGGAAGCGGCGCCGTTTGCCGAGAACTCTGCCGAAGCGGAACAAAAGTCAGGAATTTCCAACCTCAGTTCCGAACAGGCGCTCTCTACAACCACTCAGTCCCCTCGACAATGGATCAATGCATGGTAAAACCCCCAGCCTACCATCAAATTGTCACTGCGATACCGGCGGCATGCACAACCCCTCGAGGCGCGCGCTGGCTTGGCTGGGTCGCTGGCGAGGTTCAGAGCTCTGCGGTCCCCTGCGTCTGTCAATATTAGCCCCGAACCTTCGGTACGCAGTCCGGCACTCAGGCGGCTCGTTGCCATCCGATGTTGTGGAGAAATCCCCGGTGTGTTCCGCTAGCCTCTCTTCTGTATCCTCGGCCATTGCTGCGATGCAAATGCTCCAAAAGAAACCACGTTGAGTCCCAAGAAGCAGATCACCGTTGGACATCCAAACCGCACAGGTCGCATACTGACATGGTGATCTCAATTGATGAGACTGTCTTAACATTTATCCAACCCCATGGCTGCATAGTCGGGGTGCAGTATCCGCTGGATAACTTAGGTAACCAGGAGCGCCAGGTAAGGTAGCTAGCTTATGGAATGGACGATTTAGAGGCGGGGTGTATCCGTACGCCTGGAGATGCTCAGCCGCTGACTGGCGACCGCAAAGTTAAAGTGGAGCCGTCACAAAGTCCAATGTCTTATCGGACAATCGGCCAGGGATAAGTTTTCTCCCAGCTCTTATCGGCTGCCCCACGCTCAAAAAATTTCCCAGCATCGCTGCGTCTTTGGTGCAGAAGTAGAATGGATCTGAGGTTGCGACCCGTATTGCTGTGATTCTGTACCATTGCGCTTGTCGGTCACGAATTGGACAGCCCACCCATACATCATATACACCGGGCTGAACCGTTCAAGTCGTCAAAATGGAACAGAGCGCCAAGCGACGCAAGGTCTCCCACAAGGGCGACTCCAAGATCTCTGCCAACATTGCGACGGCGAGTCCATTCGTCCTACAGACGGACGAACTGTTGAAGGAGGTCAAGGTCAACTACGCCGAGGCTCTCGATGGCGCCGATGCCCTGTTGCATAAGATCAGAAATCTGATCCAAGGGATTGAGTCTCACGGTCCTATTCCTGTTCGTAATCCCCGACAATGCTGCTTCCCCCACTAGACACAGGCTGTGTTAACCTCGTTGCAGATCGCCGAAGCCACGCGCAAGTTCCAGAAGACGAACAAGATCAAAATTCCGTATCCAGACCCGAAACCCGCCGACGATGCGCCGTACAAGCTGTCATACGAAAAGCCCGCCGCTTACAATGTCGTGGGCAGCTACGTCTCGAGGACGATGATCCAGGCTCAGGCCAACAAGGGTGTGGACATGATTGTGCAGATGCCGGCTTCGCTATTTCAAGAAAAGGATCACCAGAACATGCGCTACTTCTACCGCAGAGCCTACTATATTGCGAATATTGCGGCCGCCTTGCGCAAGGAATTGGCAGGATCTGCCAACCTGGAGTTCGAGAATCTCAATGGCAACGCCCTTCTGCCCGTCCTCTCCATCAGACCCTCTTCAACATCCGAATCCTCAGAAAGCGACGAGAGCGACGAGAAGGCCGAATCGGGGTTTTCAAAGGCGGATTTCGTCATTCGGATCATTCCTTGCGCGCCTGAAGGTGTCTTCCCCAAGAAGAAGTTGCACCCCGCGTACAACAGCAACCGAAATGGGCAGCCGGAGAACGCCAAGGAGTCGACTGTGTCTACGCCCTTCTACAACTCGACCATCAAGGCCGAAGACACATTTGTCACGTATCTGCGGGTCCTCACTAGAGCCAAGACGGATTGCGCAGCCTTCGCAGACGCTTGCATACTCGGAAGAATCTGGCTCCAGCAACGCGGCCTGGGCAGTTCGCTGGCCAAGGGTGGATTTGGTCACTTTGAATGGGCAATCATGATGGCGTTGCTGCTGCAGACCGGTGGACGGAACGGCCAGCCGGCGCTTTCTTCGGCTCTGAGCAGCACTGAGCTATTCAAGGCCACGGTCCAGTTCCTTGCGTCTACCGAGTTTGCCAAGAAGCCCTTCGTCTTTGGCACGTACAAGCTGGGCGCTGACCTCATTCGGGAGAATGGCCCCGTCATGTTCGATCCTGAACGTGAGGTCAACGTTTTGTACAAGATGAGCCCCTGGTCGGCGAGCCTCCTCCACTTCCACGCCAGCACCACCATGGAAGTACTCAACGACACTCTGGCAAACCAGTTCGAGCCGACCTTCATCACCAAAGCCGACCTGCCGCTACACCTGTTCGATAGCATTTTCGAGATCCAGAACGTGGACAGCAACTCAAAAAGCACCAACCCGGATCGGCGAGGTGCCGTCTGGGATCTGAGTTTCAAGGCTTACACTGTTTTGAAGAAGGCGTTGAAGGAAAGGTCACAGCTGATCCATTTCGCGAGCCAAGACCCGGCACCGTGGTCAATCACCAGCACCCAGCCCACAAGCCTGTCCAACATTCAGGTTGGCGTCATCTTCGACCCTGCCAACATGGGCCGCTTGATGGAGTATGGTCCCTCGGCCGAGCTCGAGAAGGAGGCGGCAAAGTTCCGCAAGTTCTGGGGTGACAAGGCCGAGCTCCGTCGCTTCCAGGACGGCAGCATCCTCGAGTGCGTGCAGTGGACGCGGCAGACGTCCGCAGAAATATGCGAGGAAATCGTCCGGTACGTCCTTCAGCGCCACGTGAGCCTTGGTGCTGGCGACTTGCGCTTCCACGATGCCGATATCCCCCCTTCCCTGGACATCTCGCCATTTGACAGGGAATCCTTCGAGGCAGCGAGAAAGGCTTTCAGCACGCTCGAGCAGGACATCCGCGGCTTGGAGGAGATGCCGCTCTCGGTGAGGCAAATCGCCCCTGTCGTCCCCGAACTGCGATCCGCGTCGGTCACGCCGCCCTTTGCGCTCTCTCAGAAATCCGGCCCTCCGCCCATGGACGTGAACCTCTACTTTGAGGCATCCAGCAAGTGGCCGGAGAACCTCGTCGCGATCCAGGAGACAAAGATCGAGTTCCTTCTCGACATCGACCGCCGGTTACGCGCCGCCCATGACAACATTTCAACGAGCCTCGGCCGCGACAACGCAGCACGGGATATCGATAACCTCGCCTACCTGGACATCATCTACCCCAACGGCGCCGCATTCCGCCTGCGCATCTACGCAGAGCTCGAGGAGACCCTCCTAGACCGCCAGGCCAGGAACAAGACGCTGGACCCCCAGAGCAGAGTCCAGGCCGAAGAGGCCCTCTTCAGCCTCAACTGGCGCCACAAGCACCTGCCCCTCCACACGCAGACAATCACAACCTACTGCACCCGCTTCACCACCCTCTCCAACACGATCCGCCTCGTCAAGCACTGGTTCAACGTGCACAAGCTGGCAGGCCACATCTCGGAAGAGCTCATCGAGCTCCTCGTCCTCCACGTCTTCCTCAACCCGAACCCCTGGAAGGTCCCCTCCAGCACAATGTCCGGCTTCCTCCGCACGATCCTCTTCCTCTCCCGCTGGGACTGGCGCGACGAGGCCCTCGTCGTCGACTCCTCCGACGACATGACCGCCGACGACCGCGCCGTAGCCCAGCACCACCTCGAGGCCTGGCGCGCCCGCGACCCGACAATGTCCCACGCAGTCCTTTTCGTCGCCACCCCGCACGACCACCTAGGCCTAGCCTACACCCGCCAGGGGCCCTCCAAGCTCCTCGCAACCCGCATGACCCGCCTCGCGAAAGCCGCCAGCAAAAAGATCAAGGAGCAAGGCATCGCGCTCGACGTCGCAGAGCTCTTCCAGCCATCCCTGGCAGACTACGACGTCCTCCTCCACCTCTCCACCTCGGGCCTGAAACGCGTCGCCCGCGACGCCGCCTCCGAGGCGGGCACCCGCACCTCCCTCTTCAAGAACCTCGACGAGCGCACGGGAAAAATCCCGCTGCCGCTCGCGCGACACCCGGCGACGGTCCTGCTGGCGGAGCTCGAGACGGCGTACGAGGATACCCTCGTCTTCTTCCACGGCGCGTCCGGCGACGCCGTCATCGGCGCCATCTGGCAGCCCAAGCTGCGCAGTCGGCAAAAGTTCCGCGTCGGTCTGCCGTACAACTTCCACCGGGTCGAGGGCGACAGCGACGACGACGATGACGAGGGCGATGTGGTCGAGGTGAACAAGCCGGCTGTGCTGCTGGAGATTGCTAGGATCGGTGGTGACTTGATCAAGAAGATTGAGCTCATTGAATAGAGGATGAAAGATAGGATCTACGAAATGTAGATGGTGTGTAATTTGGGGAATCATAGCGAGGTTAGGAAAAGTCCATGAGCATCAAAAGTCCGTTTTTTTAACACCATGTCATTGAAACGTCCGTACACAGAATCGCGGTTCAATTGAGTGATTACAAAAAGAAATTGTCTTTGGTCATGCTGATTATAGCCCTATTCAACCTTTGGTTTTCCCTGTCTGTAACGCCATGCCATGATATAAAATGCCTATGCACACCAACAAATGAC